ATAGATAGATAGATAGATAGATAGATAGATAGATAGATAGATAGATAAAAATTCCTTTAAAGGAACTTAGTTCCTAAGGAAGCTGGAAAGATGGCTCAGAGGTTTAGAACCCTGACTTCTCTTCCAGAGGTCCTGAGTTCAATTCCCGGCAACCACATGGTGGCTCACAACCATCTATAATGAGATCTGGTGCCATCTTCTGGTGTACAGGTGTACATCTTCTGGTGTACATGCAGACAGAATATTGTTCCAGGGTAAGATGATCAATTCTCACTTAGGAAGACAAATGGAATGGACATTGGAAGTAGGAGAAAACTAGAAACAGGACAGGAGCCTACCATAGAGGGCCTCTGAAAGGCTCTACCTAGCAGTGTATCAAAGCAGATGCTGAGACTCATAACCAACTCTTGGGCAGAGTGCAGGGAATCATATGAAAGAAGGGGGAGTTAGTAAGACCTGGAGAGGATGAGAATGCCACAAGGACCAAATATATCTAGGAACAGGGGTCTTTTCTGAGACTGATTCACCAACCAAGGACTATTCATGGATATATCCTAGAACCCCTGCTCAGACATAACCTATGGCAGCTCAACATCCTAGTGAGTTTCCCTAGTAAGGGGAGCAGGGACTGTCTCTGACATGAACTAAGTGGCTGGCTCTTTGACCTCCACCCAACCCCCGAGGGAGGAGCAGCTTTGCTAGGCCACAGAGGAGGACACTGTAGCCAGCAGGTCCTGATGAGACCTGATAAACTAGGATCAGATGGAAAGGAAGGAGGACCTCCCTTATCAGTAGACTTAGAGAAGGGCAGGGAGGAGATGAGGGAGGGAGGGTGGAATTGGGAGAGAATAAGGAGGGGGCTACAGCTGGAATACAAAGTAAATAACCTGTAATTAATATAAAAATAAAAATCATAATAAATAAATCTTAAAAAAAAGAAGTACCCTTAGGAGCAAGAAACAGCTACCAAGTTTTGTAAGATATTGAAGAACTTACACTTGAAAAAGAATTTTCATTCAGAAAATTATGAACATGTAACATGAATTAAGAAAATGCCATGTAAACCAATGGAAAAATGCATAAAGTCTTGACTATATGAATTAAAAACAAAGAAATAACAAAAAGATGTACAAATGGCCATTACCCATAGAAAGCACTAGCTAGCTCATTGGTTATGTAATGCATCTTAAAAGCACAGAAGTAGCTGGATCTTGAGGAAGCACTATTCCTAGTTGTCTGAAAGAGCACCAGATTGCTTTCCAGAGTGATTGTACAAATTTACATTCCCATCAGCGGTGGAGGAGGGTTCCCCTTCCTCCACAACCTCTCCAGCATGTGTTGTCTCTTGAGTTTTTGATCTTAGCCATTCTGATGAGTGTAAGGGGAAATCTTAGGGTCATTTTGATTTGCATTTCCCTGATGGCTAATGAGGTTGAGCATTTCCTTAAGTGTTTCTCTGCCATTTGATATTCCTCTGCAGAGAATTCTCTGTTTAGCTCTGTACCCCACTTTTAAATTGGATTACTTGGTTTTTTGCTGTTTAACTTTAGTTCTTTATATATACTGGATATTAGCCCTCTGTCAGATATAGGGTTGGTGAAGATCTTTTCCCAATCCGTAGGCTGTTGTTTTGTTCCGAGGACAGTGTCCTTTGCTTTACAAAAGCTTTTTAGTTTCATGAGGTCCCATTTATTGATTGTTGCTCTTAGAGCCTGTGTTGTTGGTGTTCTGTTCAGGAAGTTGTCTCCTGTGCCAATGAGTTCAAGGCTCTTCCCCACTTTTTCTTCTAAGCGGTTTAGTGTGTCTAGTTTTATGTTGAGGTCTTTGATCCACTTGGACTTTAGTTTTGTGCAGGGTGATAAGTACGGATCTATTTGCATTTTTCTACACAGGGGTCTTTCCTGAGACTGCTATTCCAACCAAGGACTATGCATGGAGATAACTTAAGACTCCTTCACAGATGTAGCCCATGGCAGTTCAGTATCCAAGTGGGTTCCATTGTAATAGGAACAGGGACTGTCTCTGACATGAACTGATTGGCCTGCTCTTTAATTACCTCCCCCTGAGGGGGAAGCAGAATTACCAGGCCACAGAAGAAGACAATGCAGCCACTCCTGATGAGACCTAATTGACTAGGATCAGAAGGAAGGAAAGGAAATTCTCCCCTATCAGGGACTTGGGGAGGGGCATGCATGCAGAGGGTGGAGGAAGGGAGAGATTGGGACAGGAGGAGGGAGGAAACTACTGGGATACAAAGTGAATAAAGTGTAACTAATAAATAAATAAATAAATAAATGTAATTTAAAAAAAAAGCACAGAAGTATACTCTCACCACTCAAAATATGACATCAAAAACTAAAACCTAAAATACTAAGTGTTGATGAAAATGTAAGACAATTAACAAATTAACAAATGACTTTTGAGATATAAATTAGCATAACCACTTGGAAAATTGCAATTTCCTACCAAAGCTATCCTATCAAAAAAAAAAAAAAAAAATCTAACATTTCTAAAACTACCCATCAGTTTACACATGTTCATTAAAAGTAATTCACAAAAATACTTATAGAAAAACAAATTGTAATGAGAAATATCCAAAAATTATAAATAATCCAAATATGGAATATATCCACATAAGTGATCAGGCATTCATGCATTGAAAGAAATATGAACATTTTGATTAAGGAGAGCAGTAGAAAGGAATCTTGTGATTACAAAGATGAATGAGAATATGCTAGACATAAGAAGAACGCAGCATAATATTTTTGACAAAGAATCTCTCTACATAGATATGCCTATCCCAAAACTCATTATGTAGACCAGTCTGGCCTTTAACTCACAGAGATCTGCCTGCTTCTGCCTCCGAAGTGCTGGGATAAAAGGCCTGTACCACCATGCCCAGGAAGAGCACATTATAAAGTTTTTCAAATAGAGCCAAGACTGGAGTTGGGGATGTGGTTCAGTCCATACAGTATATGCCTATCTCTTGGGAAGCTTTGGCTTCCAGGATGAGTGCTGCAGAGCTGGTTGTCATGGTGCATGCCTGGCATCCCAGCACACAGCAGATGGAGTAGGAGCATCAGAAGCTCAGGGTCATCCTCAGTGGCACAGGTTTTGAGAACAGCCTGAGCTGCCTGAAACCCTATCTCAAGAAACATATTAAAACAGTCAAAAATTGTGCTAAAGGAAGAATGGGGTGCTAAAGGATACCTTTGGGATGCAACAGACAAGGGGAATAGGAGAGTCTTGTGACGGAGATAACAAACAACCTCTTCCCCTGATTTCTATGGTAATTAGGCTATTTGAGATATTCATTTCTAATTTTACATATTTTGGATACACATTACTTTCCTAGAATAAATACTTATATGGAAGTTTAAACTTCAGAGAGAGAGATGAAAATAAGACTTAAATGCTTTGAGATAACCAAAAGGAAAATTCTGAATAAATTAGTCATATGCCAATTTTTACCCAAACACTTGCATACATGTATGTCTCTGTTTAAGGGCTTTACAGATAGCCATTTGGATCACTTACTTCGAGCCAAATTTCATTGTCCTTCTGAAGGCCATGTTTAGGCTGCTCACTGCCTTCATCCTGGACATTCTTCAGACTGAAGACACAAGGAAACCAGCCAGTAAAGAGATGCTGTGGGGATGAATCTGGATGGTGTGAAGTACAGATCTGAAATGCAATTTCAATTCCAAATTAAATGTGGCATTCAGGAGGTAAGTAAATTCAAGAAAGCTTTGTAGTATAAAGCCATCCCTTCTCTCTTTTAAATGCCCAATGACAACACTAATAGATGCAGAATGCAGAAGTTAGAATGTAGAAAAACCACAATTCATGTAGAAGAATTTCTTGATTCTGTAACCCTCAAGATATATCTTGCTAGGGTAGAAAACCACACCGGACAACCCTCTGTCCATCATCAGTATGGGATCTTGCCTAACGAATCATTCTGGCACACTTCAGGTGATGGATCCAAGGGTTCGCTTTGCAGGTATTTCCAGGGTGATGATTGGGTCCTTACCAATCAGCATCAACTGACCCTAGAGGGAGATTACTGAGTCAGGCAGGTAGCACATGGCTGCATAGAGAAGCCAAGAAGCAGAACTCCAGGAGATGTCTCCCACTTAGAGAAGACATGCAGGCTAGATGGAAACCCCTTCAGAGAGCTGTCATGAACCCAGAAAAACCAGCTTTCCTGGCTTTTTGTCTTCTAAAGAGAAGAGTCCCAAGACTTGGTAAAGAGAATGTAGCAGAAAAACCTAGTTGCCTCATTGTATCTCCTTGCCCATCACCTTTTCATTAACTGTTGTAGTAAATCAAAAAATGAGAGCTGAGCTATATAATGTTTATTATTATTTGCCCTCACCATGGGATTTTGTATGAAAGGTAGACCAGATGAGGAGGATTAAGGTGGACTGCATTGAATGGGGGCTGGGAGATGGATGGTGAGGTTAGTGAGCCAGCATAAGTAAAATATCTGCCCAGCCCAAGGTAAATAAGGCAGTTATAAATCTAACAGGTATCTGTGTCTTATTATATGTGATAGCAGGTTAAATAGTACCACCATGATAATCTTAGGGCTAATAATAATAATAATATAGCCCAACACACTTTTATTTTTTACTACAACAATTAATGAACATGAACATTGCTGTAAGTCATTGGGTTATGTAGACGCTCATTTCCTCAATGTTTCTCAGAAGTAAGGGTGATTAAATAGACCAATAAGATATGAGTGAAAATTAGTGCTGAGCTTCCAGAAAATTTGCCATTTTACCAATAAATATAGGAAAACACTCAGCTTCCTCCCCCCACCCCCTAACAGCTTATTGCTACCACCCCCCAATATAGAGCTCAAATATAGTTCATAATAGTCGTGTGTCTATGTTAAAGTTCAGTTGCTCACATATGCCTTGAGTTACAGGATAAAAGTTGTTGAGGTCAAGTAGTGTGCATGTGCAGGTTCTGGAAGCATAACTCAGTGCCAGAGCATTTGGTGGCTCTGCAAGCCCCTGAGTTCAAACCTATGTCACACACACACACACACACACACACACACACACACACACACGAAATGCTGACTTCATGGTTTCAGGGTCAGCAGCCATGCTATTAGCCAGAAAAAGGAAACTACCAACTAAAAATGGAAGTGCTGGAATCTAGACACTGGCATCCTTGATGAGTCCCCTTGAGACAGGCATCTTGAGTAGTGTCCTCTGTCTACACAGAAATGCTTCCTCAGAGCGGTTATTTACAATACACTTATCCTTGCCTATGATACCCAGAGGGCTAGCTTTTATCTCTGTAGACTCTCTTGCCCATTGTTACCATGAACAAAAGAGTTAGTTTATTTGGTGATGAAAGCATCTGGAATGGTACCCAAGAGCCAACTGCCCTTCGTCTTGTCTTTAGTATTAAATCTCAATTCACCAGTGTCATTAGTACAGCATCTGAGTCTTCCCAAGATCTCCCCACTTTGTAGGTAGAGAGGGAAAAGGATTCAAAGGAGTCATCTGATTTACGTTAACTACTAACTATAGTGTTTCTTCAATAATAATTCAAATCAAATCATAATTTTGTTATATATAATATAAATAAATAAATAATATATAAATTGGGAGAGAGGGCTAAAGATGGAATGCACTATAAATCTGGTTTAGGAAGAAAGTTGACTTTCTTTTGTTTGCATTATTTTGATTTAACAAGGTGCGGTCTTACATATAAATTTACACTGCACTGCCCTGTTACATGCAACAAATGTGGGCCCAAAAGGTTAACTGAATTGTCCATAATCATGTAATGACAGTAATACTAGTGGATCTAGCTGTCTAATTCAGACTTGCTGATTTCTTATTGTTTCTTTTTATCCATTTCACTAAGGCCTCCCAACACCTAAAGCCAAAATATAGTTTATAATAGCTGCATGTTAATGTTAAACTTCAAGATCTTACATATGATCCGAATTACTTGATAAAAATTGTTGAGGTCAAGTAGGGTGGGGGAGAAATCAGTAGATAACATATAGAATAAAGGCAAGCTCCCTAAGCAGGTAGGGGCAATCATGACTCCATTCTTCTGCCTTAACTTACCATTGAAAGAGGTTCTCCTGTGAGCATGGAAACGGGACACTTCTTCTTGTCTTCATGGTAGGAATAAGCCTGGGTAGCCCACTGGTCCAAGTGTCCTTCAGGAGTATGCAGGCCACAGTCTATGATGCTGATTTCTTTCTCAAAAGGTTCACAAATCCCATCTCCCTCATACCTGTAGCAAAGGCTTGGCTCCCCTGCCGAGAAACATGTATGACATTTAAGAGATTTTTTTTTTCATGTCTTAGGGGGAATGTAACATGGTACTGTTCCCAGCAATTCTCCTCCAACCCACTAAAGACAACCCTGTGAGGATCATGGAACCCAGTACCCACCATAATACCAACCCTAACAGAGGACGGATCACTCTTTATGAGGGAAGAGGCAGAATCAAATAGTTATAGGGAAATTTGGACTTGGGAGGGAAGAATAAAGACAGAAAAGCACTGTAAACTCGGTATAGGAAGAAAGTTGATTTTATTTCATTTGTATTGTTTTGATTTAAAGAAACAGAGTCTTAGGTAGCCCAGGCTGGCTCTCAACTCCTGATCCTCTTGCCTAGTGAGTGTTAGAATCACAAGCATGTGCTCCCATGTCCAGCCAAGGTATTTTAGGTAAAGTGAAATGATACATGGACTATGTTAAAAATATGTGGGACATAGGAAAAAGCAGAAATAGAATTTAAATAAATAGTATAATGTACATGTGTTTGAATCTCCTTTATAGTTTTTAAATGTTAAATAATTTAAGGGGATTCTTCACCAAATTATTATTTTTTTCAATTATTTTTGCCACTGAAATGCTTTTCTCTGCGTAGATAACTGATTAGAAATGGTGTAAAACTTTGTTGCTTAGACTCCAGGTCATATAGTTATTCATTTCCTCAGCTTAGGACAACCATAGGGTGTGTAGTTTTCTTTTTATTACTATGGTTTGTTTTATTAATAAGAAATGCAAGCCTAAATGAGTTTGCATGACCTACAATCCATGGGGCTGGATTTGAGTGAGGCTTACACAATACCGGTCCATGGCTCCCTCAGCCTTAGACCCTGTGCCACTTCATACTGAAGCAGAACAGACAAACAAAACAGGAATATTTGCAGAAAACTGTTGAAGTTGTAAGGTGAGCTTGAATGCACAGAGAAAGTTCCATCCATCCACATTGGGCAGTTCTTCCTAGGTGGACAGTATTGGCCATTGGTAGACTGGTTTCCTTCAGTGTGGGAAGCTGTCTCCCAAAATGTAGGGCAATTAGTGTTAATAGCACAACTCAATTTCCCATATCTATTTAAAGTAACAGGACCCTGAAATCGAATTAAGATTCAAAACAAATCCATACAGCACCAACTCAGTAAAACCATTGCTATGATTTACTATTGCTATAGCATGGTTTTAAATTTTTTCTTCTTTGCAGAAGCTTCACAGGGATATTCTGGTAGTTTGTCAGCTGCTCACTAACATAGAGTTATT